ATTCAAGACTAACTGATATTACCATTGAAAATTAATAAATATATTCAAATTTGACTGATATTATATAATACATGTGTGTATGTGTGGTTGCATAGCTAAACCAGAATAATAACATGCGTGATAACTTAATTCAACCTTAAAAAGAATATTTATAACAATAGTTATAAAGACAGTTGAAATTTAAGATGGGCAGAAGATTGTAGCGGAAATATAGGAAAATTTTAACACCAAATTAAACAGTGATTAATTTTTAAGAAAATCTCAAATGTTTGCTGAAATTTTTATTTCACCCTCTTTTTAGTTAATAATAACAGAAAGTTTTAAAAACTTATATTATATTTATTAAAAATTATATATACCTAATTGTGTGTAGTTCTAAAGGGATGACAAATTTATTTTTAATAAATACTTTGCAATCAGTGAGAACAACTATCAAAACTTCAAGGACAGACATAAAAGTGAATATTGAAAATAATCATTATTTTTGAGCTCTTTCTGTTGAATATAAATAAAAACTAAACGAAGGCATAACAAATAGATTTTAGTAGGGAATAACTGATCAGAAGTAAACTAGACCGCAACAATTATTTTATTGACTGTTTAGTTCATACAGTCTGTATTTTTTCTATATTAAGACATTTTATTCAGAGTCACTAATAAAAAAATATGGATTTTTTATGGTTGTAGAAATTATATAAAACTTTTTGTGAAAAGCACAACTAGTAAACTAGTAAAAATATACATTTTATGGTTGTCAAAATTATAAATATTTTGTGTGAAAAGCATCAATCTTTAGCAATAACAGCAACAAAGCGCCAATAATGATTGTCATTCTAGGTAATTTTCATACGTATAAACGTGCCAAATTTATTTAGTGAATCTACACCTGAATACATAGCTTTCTCTGCCCTTTGATTTTTGGAAACGCAATAGTAGTACCATTTTCTGACTACAGTTACTATGTATTCCAAAAGTCCATATATACATTCAAATGTTATTTACTAAACAGATTTCTTTGTTCTTTGGATGTTGGATGGATGGATCCAACTGGGTAAAAGGTTTCCTTAGTGGAGGTATTTGGTCAAGGCAGGGAGTCTGGCTTATATTGAGATTAGTAGTTTACATACTGAGGCATCGATTCACTGACCTCTCTGTGGATCCTTGGTATATTCGACCAAATTCTGGTCCAAGGTAACTAACGTGGCAACGGCACCCATTTTTCAATGAAGAGAAACACCTGGATACAACAACAACAGAAATAACCCTAATCGAGCGTAAATTTTCATAAGCCATTATGAGGTTAGGTAAGTTCAGGTTAGGATTAGTAAATTAGTCAGCTTGTCTCGTAACTCCCTCTATATTCTATACCACGTATTATAATTTGGGAATCCTCCACAAGAATAGAACTTGTTTCTTGCAGCATTTTGTCAATGACTAGGAAATGTAAAAGTAGACGTATCTATGTTTTTTTATTTGTTCCTTATAGGTTTCCCCAATATTTAACCAATCTGGCTGAAAATATAACAGTATATAGAGTTCAATAAGAAGAGAACAGGCCTTTGTCACCTTTTAATTCAAGAAAAACTCTGTATTTGCTGTAATTGCTGTATCATGTTTAATGGCCAAAAACTAAATTCTTTCATGGATAATTCATTAGAGCAGAACAGGGGTGAAATAAGACCGTCATTTTTAATAGGCAGGAAAAATATTTTTTCAATGAAACATCAACTCGAGCAGAACATTGGCGAAGCCAGATCATATTTCTATAAAAGGAAAGTTCAAAGACTACTCTATTATAACTCTTTTTCACTAAATATCTTAATAAAAATTATATATTTCCCATTCAGGTATATAGATTAAAATGCAGTTTAAAAATATAAGCTATTAAAAGCCTATTCACAAGTTAAACCACTAATTAATTTGCATTTTTACCTCAATAAGCTAAAAAATAGTGTATGTGAGACTATATTACACTAATGGGTTTCTAATTCACCAAATGTGATATAATGAGACAATTTGATTATCACGATATAATATTTAACATAATTATTTTATATATACTCTAAATATATACGTTTTGTACTTTTAAGACAATAATTTACACTTTAATGAAAATCTTTTTCATTTGTATCAACATTCGTCATTTTATTAACAACACATTCATTTTAAAATGGTATTTTACAATTTTCAAAATATTTTAGTAATCTCACTATTGATATTTTTATTTTTTATTAGAATTGTTACATTTCAATGGAAATTGGTCTATTGTAAATATTTTTATACGTCCGTTTCAATCAAGTATTAGAAGCTTGTATTTCCTATATTTTCGCTACAAAATACCTACCAGCTTAACTTTCAGCCATTTTCATAACTGTTTTTTTTTTTAAATTGATTCTTATAGGAGCAAATAGAACATCACCTAAGTAAGTACTTCCCTCGAATTGGCATATTAATTCAAGACTGACTGATATTACCATTGAAAATTAATATATATATATTCAAATTTGACTGATATTATATAATATATGTGATGAGCGAATCCTGTCGACTAAATATGTGATGAGGTATCCAGTCTACACAAACTGTGGTGTGTTATCCTTTCGACTCTCGCTATACTGTGTTAACCGAGAGGACCAGTCAGGATGTGGAGAGTTTTCCAGTACCTCTATGCACCTTGGAGGCCCTTTAAAAGTTCTCACAGAGTACAGGCAGTCGTGGTCGAGGCAGAGTGGAAAGCTTGGGAATGTCCATACACAAAAAGCGAAGACACAGTTGTACTAGGGAATTTCCGTGAACAGATAAAAGTCGAGCTAGGAGCGAAAGATGGAGATAGAAGAGTCCTTACTGGTCTACATGTTGGATGAGATGGACCTGGGACACAACCGACGAGGGCTTCTGCTGATGGTGAAATGACTATTTTTTGGCTAGGACGGAGGTCTTATATATCTTTGCCGAGAGAGGAAGTATTGCATTTCAGCAGATGCAACAAGAGCGTAGATCGAATGGCGAAATTGTACACTGGCGCCGCCCTGACAGTTTCCTATCTTTAGATGTTGTTTTGGGACTGCTACATCTCGATCTCTGCTTTAGCTCAAATCTAAATCTATTACAGAGTTTTATTTATTTATCCTCAGTTTGTACAAAGTACAATACATATGATGATGTAATGACACATGTCATTCATGCGTATAATAATATACAGATGTGTTTCTATTATACAACATGAAAATCTTGTTATAAGTATTATACAATATGAGGTTGTTGGCTTAATTACCATATATATATGTGTGTGTATGTGTGTATATGTGGTTTCATAGCTAAACAAGAATTATAACTTGCGTGATGTCCAAATTCAACCAATAGTTATAAAGACAGTTTAAATTTAAGATTGGCAGAAGATTGTAGCGGAAATATAGGAAAGTTTTAACGCCAAATTAAACAGTGATTAATTTTTAGGAAAATCTCAAATGTTAAATTTCTAATGATTGATTGAAATGGATATAAAAATATATAAAATAGACAAATTACGATGAAAACTAAAGAATATCTATGGTAAAATTGTTAAAATATTTTTAAAATTTTGAAAAATACCATTTAAAAATGAAAATATTGTAATTATAGAGTGTGAAATGTTGTTATTAAAGTGATTATTCGGCCTTCTGATTTTAAGGATGCGAGAACCTGGTTTATAAATGTTATTGAAGTGTAAAATTTTGTGAAAAAATTGTGTAAAATGTTACTTCAAATTGAAAAAACGATATATGTTAATTACTTGTGAGATTTGCCTTAATTTTTTATATCACATAAAATTTAGGCAATATTTCAATTTCAAGAAAAAAAATCATAAGCAAATAATAGTCAAATAATATTAATGAAATGATATGATTTTTATTTGAAAATAATTTAACAAGCAATATGTATACACATCGACATAGATTCATCTAGGATCAATGTTCACACAAACATAAATTTCTATAATTATTTAGAGTAAATTATTGTATTTTTCACTTGTCAGAAGACGTGGTAGCTGGAGTGACATATTCTTCTATATTGATTTTCTGTATTTTATGTTTGTCTTTCATATGTTTGGTGAAGTAGGGCTTGGACTTACTCTTCTTTCCACAGAGGGAGCAGGAGTAGAGGGCAGTGTTGTGGACCTCCTGGTGACGGATGAAGTTGAGTTTGATGTGAGTCTTGTACCCACACACCCCACAACAGAGGCTCTCATTGCAGGCGTGGATTCTCAGGTCAGCCTCTCCACAGGCCACATACTTGCACAGCTTGCACTTGAGCGCGGGGTCGGTGTGTTTGTAGCGCTTGTCCCTTTTCAGAGAGTTACAATATGATGTCTCGAAATTACATTTATCGCAGATGTATGGTTTTGAAATATGTTTTTGAACGTGAATTTTCATATAGACTTTTAAAGCAGACGTATAATTACAGTGTTCACACGAGAAAGGTTTTTCTTTAGTGTGGGTGAATTTGTGTTGTTTGACGCAATATTTTTGATTTGATCTATAATTGCAACCTTTCCAATCACACCTAAACTCCTTTTCGCCTGTGTGGGTCATCTCGTGGACTATTAGGAGGCCCATATTTTGAGTCTGGTAGTCACAGTATTTGCAGGTTTCCATTACTTTTCCAGGTACCTTTGTGGTCATCTTGTAATTTTAAACAGGCTTTTAAAAAAGCATTTAAATTTTCGAAATAGATTTGTAGATGACGAGGAGATACACTGAATGTAATCTTCGCAGGAATATTTTATCAAATTCTAAACTGAGATATTTCTTCCTACACAATATAAGAAAAATTTCTAACTGAATTTACATACATTTCTTTATTCCACTAAAATTTATTTTACATATTTACCTATTCATTATTAAACAGTTTATTTAAATTGACTCAATTATATTCTAATTTCGTGAACTATTTTTTTTTAATTGAAGAAATATTATTAAAATATACAAGTATCAGAGTCATGCACAATTCTGTCACCGTTTGCTTTTGGTTCAGTGGTAGAATGCTCGCCTGCCACGTGGCCTACCGGGTTCGATTCCCGGCCGATGCATTTTTTTTTTAATTTTTAAAACTCATTTATATTATTAAAATATATGTGCTTTTCCTGTCTATGTACAGATTTATGGTCCATGTACACAAGTATACAAGTTATTTGCAAATTGCGTTGCAAATTTGCCCTTTCGCTCGCAAGCAGCGCCTCTAGCGGTGAAGATGGGAGGTAATATCAGCTGACCTAATGGACATGTAAAACGTGTTTTAACAGGACATAGAGAAAAATCTGGAAAATATATTTTTCGGATTTTTAGTCAAGAAAAATAAATTGACAGGTTCTGGAAAAAAAAGTAGTTGTTTTTTATTCAGAAAATGATGATGACAATATTGCTGTACCATATTTGATTATCAGATACAAAATTATATCCGCAAAATTTCCAAAAAGCAGAGACCACGGGTGAAGCCAGTTCATTTTTACTATGCAGGAACAAAATTCTAACAGGAAAACATTCATTTGAGCAGAAGACACAAAGCCAGATCATCTCTTTATAAAAATATCGCTTCTCAGACACAAAGTTTGGAGCGGGACGTTTCACAAGAATGACATCCACGGCGCCAATTTATAATTGTAACGAATAGTATTTGAATAAAAGCATTTAATCGGGTAAAACCTAGGCGTTGCCCGGGTCATTCGGCTAGTGTGTACATAAAGTGAATAAAAGTGCGATGTACAGTTGAACCTGTCTATAGTGCCCCCTCTAAATAGCGCCTCCCTCTCTATAACACCCGATTTTAAATACGTAGTAACATGCGATTTACATTAAAAGTGACCTATCTATAGCACCCCCTCTCTATAGCACCCTATTTTGGTGAGTCAAAAGAGGGAAGGCTATAAACAGGTTTAACTGTAATATATTTAAAGTCGATATGAAATAAGTATATTCCAAATATATTTAAATTATCTTTTTCTATCTAATATTAGTTTTCTTATATAATAAAAATATTAGCAAGAAATTATGGTTAAATATATTTGTTTTATCTAAACCGTGTAGTTGATGATATTTGTAGGCCTCAAGAACCCGGATTAACCAAATAATTGATAATAATATTATCTATAAGGACATATGATGATACACATGTCTGTCTCTTCATCCATACTTTTTGTGATTAAATTTTAATATAATTATAGAGCTCACAATGAGAAGACTGAATGGTCGGGAATGTACTAATTTCTATTTTTACTGTCAAATTTTGTGTTCTATTTTAAATATACTTATAGAGAGTCTTGAAGTCTGAAATGTGGAAAACCTGTACAAACCTGATGATATTGGCGATAGTAAAATTTGAGACTTCTATAGATGGACCGAAAAATGTTAAAATTTCAATATTTTCTATCAAAATCGGATGCATAGAGAGGGGGTGCTATAGGCAGGTGACTTTTAATGTATTCGCATCATTCTACGTATCTAAAATCGGGCGCTATAGAGAGGGATGCGCTATATATGTGAAAAAAATAATAGAAAAAAAGGTCAGGTATTGATATTAAAAATAAAAATGGCATATCCTGACCAGGAGCACATGTGCTTTACAGAAGGCAGAGCGCCATCTGGTGGAACAGTAATCAACAAAACATTGATTTAGCCTGTTCCCTGTTATTTGGCCAACCCAAATTCTTGATAAATCAAGAAAGACCATCTACGAATCCGTGGATTCTGAAAGTCATCGAGTCTTGGCCTGACTATGACATGTACTGATAGATAGCAGGCATGTCTGATATCACCGAATAAAGCTGTTGAGTTTGGTGAGCTTCCCCTTGCGCTCTAAAATTGACCTACCTGGTTCTTTCTATGTGCTTTTCCAATTCAGACTTCAAACCTTCAAATATCTGAAAATCATTGGCATTAATTATTCATAGAAATAATCATACTTTAAATTCTCCCTATTCCAATTCCAGAACTGTTAACTAATGATCCAGACTGGGCAGCGCTAGTCCCTATTCTTTGCTTTAGTCGGCCAATTGCTGCTTCTTGAGAAAAAAACAAATCTTAGCTTCAATTTGACTTTGCTCTAGACTGTTTTAGAATGCTCCACCTTATGCTCCTTTTGCCCTGGTGATGATTCGCGGACCAAATATACTGGAACGAAGGTGACTAGTCGTTTAGCTTGGTTGCCTCAGGTATCCATATATCTAGTGATTTTTCTAGTTCAAAATTTTTACCGAGTCTGTAAAGTAATTCTCACTACAGAAATCCGTAGGTAGTTAATGAAACGAATAATACACACACCATAATTATACACCAAATCTCATGTAACTGAATCGAAACCTGCAGAATATTTCTATAGTAATTCGAGGGGATGTGAATTTGATTATAATATAACTTGAAAATAAGCGATGAGCTGCAATAATATTTTCGCTACAAAATACCTACCAGCATAACTTTAAGCCATTTTCATAACTGTGTTTTTTTAATTGATTCTTATAGATGGAAATGTGTGTGTGTGTAACATCACCCAAGTTAGTACTTCCCTCGAATGCGCCATATTAATTCGAGACTAACTAACTAGACTAGCTAGTATTAAATATACTAGTCGACATATTTTACCTAGGGTCAATGTTCACACAAGCAAACTTCCTATAAATATAGATAGTATAATTGATGTTTTCTTCACTCGTCAAAAGACGTGGTAGCTGGAGTGGCGTATTCTTCTATATTGATGTTCTGTACTTGATGTTTGTTCTTCATGTGTTTGGTGAAGTCGGTCTTGGACTTACTCTTCTTTCCAGAGCTGGAGTAGTGGACATATGTGGTTGCATAGCTAAACCAGAATAATAACTTGCGTTATGTCTTAATTCAACCTTAAAAAGAATATTTAAAATAATAGTTATAAAGACAGTTGAAATTTAAGATGGGCAGAAGATTGTAGCGGAAATATAGGAAAATTTTAAAGCAAAATTAAACAGTGATTAACTTTTAGGAAAATCTCAAATGTTGTATTTATAATGATTGATTAAAATTTATTTAAAAATGTATAAAATAGAAATAATTTCGATGAAAAAACTAAAAAATATCTATGGTAAAATTGAAATATTTTTAAAATTGGAAAATACCATTTAAGAATGAAAATATTGTATTTATAGAGTGTGAAATGTCGTTATTAAAGTGATTATTCGGCCTTCTGCTTTCAAGAAGAGCTAGAACCTGGGTTTTAAATGTTATTAAAGTGTAAAATTTTGCAAAAATATAGTGTAAAATGTTACTTCAAATTGAAAAACCGATATATGTTAATTAACTTGTGAGATTTGCATTAATTTTTTTTTATATCACAAAAAAATTAGGCAATATTTTAAATTATCAGAAAAAAAATCATGAGCAAATACACTTTGAAAATATAGTCGAAATATTTAGTTTTTATTTAAAAGTAATTTAAGCAAGTAATAAATATACTAGTCAACATATTTTTACCTAGGGTCAATGTTCACACAAACAAAACTTCTAATAAATATGTAGAGTATAATTGATGTATTCTTCACTCGTCAAGAGACGTGGTAATTGGAGTGGCGTATTATTCTTTGTTAATGTTCAGCACTTGATGTTTGTTCTTCATATGTTTGGTGAAGTAAGTTTTGGACTTACTCTTCATTCCACAGAGGGAGCAGGAGTAGAGGACAGAGTTGTGGACCTCCTGGTGACGGATGAATTGGGACCTGGACTGGTTCCTGTACCCACACTCCCCACAACAGAGGCTCTCATCGCAGCTGTGGCTCCTCAGGTCGACCTCTCCAAAGGCCGCATACTTGCACAGCTTGCACTTGAGCGCGGGGTCGGTGTGCTTGTTGCGCTTGTGATCTTTCAGAGAGCTACAGTAAGATGTCTTGAATCCACATATATCACAGATGTACGGTTTTGAATCGGTATGCTTTCGCATGTGAACTCTCAAATGGGTTTTGTGAGCAGATCTATAAGGACAGTGATCACATGTAAAAGGCTTTTCTTCAGTGTGGGTGACTTTGTGTTGTGCCACATTAAATTTTCGATTAGATCTGAAGTTACAACCTTTCCAATCACACATAAACTCCCTTTCCCCAGTGTGGGTCTTCTCGTGGTCTATTAGTTGACTCTTATATTCTAACTGCTTGCCGCAGTATTTGCAGGTTTGCATTACTTTTCCAGGTTCTTTTGTGGTAATTTTCGTATTGTAGACAGGCTTTCACAGAAACGTTTAAATTTTCGAATATATATGAAGAGGAGATACACTGAATATAATCTTCGCAGGAATATTTTATCAAATTCTCGATATATTTCTTCATACACAATATAAGAAAAATAATTAACTGAATTTACATACATTTCTTATATAAAACAAATTATTTTACATATTTACCTATTTATTATTAAACAGTTTCATTAAATCGACTCAATAATAAGATAATTTCGTGACCCTATTTTATTTTGATTGAAGAAATATTATGGGTACATAAAGGGAATGAAAGTGCGATGTACAGTTAAACCTGCCTATAGTGCCCCCTCTAAATAGCGACTCCCTCTCTATAACGCCCGGTTTTTAATACGTAATACCATTCGATTTGCATTAAAAGTGACCTGTCTATAGCATCCCCTCTCTATAGCACCCTATTTTATGAGTCCAAAGAGGGGGCGCTATAGACAGGGTTACCTGTAATATATTTAACAGTCGATATGAAATAAGTTTTTCCCAATATATTTAAATTATTTTTTTTTATATCTAAAATTATTTTTCTTATATAAGAAAATTATCACCAACATATTATGGTTAAATATATTTGTATTACCTAAACTGGGTAGTTGGTGACATTTGTAGGCCTCAGGAACCTGGATTAACCAAATAATTGATAATAATATTATCTATAAGGACATATGATGATACACATCTCGGTCTATTCATCCATACATCTTGTGATTATATTTTAATATAATTTTAGAGCACACAATGAGAAGACTGAAATCTGACATACTTGTTAACACCTGATGATAAGTGATAGCTAACCAATTTCTTCTGTATGTTGGGGAATGTACTAAT